TATATGTTAATAGTATAAACCTACAGATACAATGCTCAAAAAAAGATGCTGCTGTTAGCAATGTGAGTTCATTTAAAGCTGCCCAAAGTGTTGCTCTAAACTACAATACATTTTCTGATCTATAACCAGAAAGTTCACTTAAAAGCAAGCAGATTTTCCTAAATAAATAATCAGAGACAAAAAGTACCCCTGGCTATAAGTGTTATCTGACCATCTAGATATTCACAGCACTAAAGTACAAGTAAGGAGTTCCTCAATAGTCAGCTTCTTCCACATTTTCCCAAATACCCCAGTCAGTGAAAAAAAAATCCTTATTAGATCAGCCTCAAGAGATATATAACATCCACCAGCTTAATTTTTGTGTTACAACTTCCATTCCTTAGAGGACAAGAAATAAAGGAAATATTTACTTTAAAAAAGCTTACTTTCAACTCTTCCTATGATGTAAGCATCAAAAGATCTTTACCTAAACAATCAGTTCAGTCAAAATGATGACTTGCTATAAGAGGGGAAAAAAACAATAACCATCTGCTTTTATTCTATCAAAACCCATGGTTCTAAAAGCAAGAAAAAGAAAACCCTCATACCAGATGAGGATTAATTTCATGAATTGTCCTATATTGTAGGTCCATGAGTGTTTGCTGTGATATGGTAATGAAGGATTCTGCTTAGTTGAAATTAAACTTCAACTGCACCTTCTTAGCTAGTGCTAAAAGCAAATGTGTTCTCACAATAGGGATTATTTCTAATGTCTCTGCTTTTTTCTTCTCTGTTGATGCAAATTTTGATACCTGCTCACTCTTCCTTTATAATTGGCCATGTATAAATACTGAAGTATTTAGCAACTGAATACCTGAGGAAGGCCAGAGAGTAGTTAAGCAAACTCACCAGTTAGAGCTCTACAACCCACTTTTCATTCTCAAACTCGCTCTAACTCAAGTCTACTGCTACTGCTTTCTTCATTTCAGCTATATATTTTATTACTTACCCAAGGAGGACTTGGTAATCAGCAATATTAATTATTGGCAAAATCTGGCAACCCTAAGCTTCCTAAGCAAGAGGACTGTGAACACAACATTCCAAAGGGACACTAGATTCCCTGCAATCAAATATGAGGTACATTAAGGAGCTCTTCCTGGAATGTGAAAGCAAAAGTTAGATAGAAAAAGCGAGTAACCTCACCACACACCACAAACCAAGAAAAATAAAGAGCAAGGTAGTATGTCCTTGAAGTCTCCACAAACCCTTTTCTGTGCTCAGAAACCTAATATATCAGATCAAGACATCACCCGGGAGCTGTTATTACAACTAAGCCTCACCAAAGAAAGTGAAGCAAGGATATACAAATAGATACACACCGATTATAGAATCAGCCAAAGAACCTCCTAAAAATGAGAAAAATAAACCAACAGACCTTTAATGTCCTGTTGTGACGCTGAAGTTCCCTGCAAAGAGACTCTAGTTTGCTTCTTGCCAAGATAGCCTTGCTGTGCTCACTTTGCAAGTGAACTTTCTCTTTCATGATCAAAGTTTGCTTCTTCTGAAGAATCTTCATTTGCTTCTGAACATTC